AAATCTCTTGGGGACATTTTTGGTATTATGCAAATAATGAAAATATAATCAACTTTGGATCATAAAATTTATATGCATAGAATGGCGAATTTCAATGCATTGATTTTGCAATCAGATGAATTAAAAAAACAATCTTATGTTGGTTATAATTTGGTACATTTATTTACTTTTGTTACAATGTTTAATAATGATTTTCCAAATGATACTCCACAATAAGGTATTTTTATTTGTGTACCTTTTTCTTTGAAGCATCCCTATAAGTTCTAATTTTTTATTTTTTAGAAAAAAAAGTAGAAATTTCATTAAAAAAAAGAAATATAATATAAATATGAAATAAATATATAAATAAACAAGTTTCTATATATATTTTTCATTAAAAGTCCAACTTTAAACCACTTGTAATAAAGAAAAAAAATGAATTTAATTTGAAAGATATAATTGAGTTGACAAAGCAATAAATTTGTATTATAATAATAAACACACTTCACTTCACCACGATTTATAATCATTATATAATTTCATGATCTTTTAAGAAATCCGATTTGATAATCTTCAAAATTCTTTCGTCTCATCCGTTGTAGAGAATCAATTTGCATTATTATCCAAATAACGATTAATGTAGGCAAAGCCATCAGAAAAGTAGCTACAGTAACCTAAAAAAAATTAATCAAAACTTAAGATTTATCAAAACAATTAGAATTGAGAATATATACACATAATCTATTAAAACAAATAAATCGATCCCGACGTTTGCTTGAAATCTATATCAAAAGATATAAATTTGAGAATTATTAAAAAAAAAACACAAAAATAAAATTAGAAAGAGAGGAGGTGATCACTAATAAGTATTACTGGTGGCGGTCTCAAAAAAGAAAAAAAATTATAATTGTTTATTTTGAATAATAATAATTAAGTGACATGTAATATATTTTGAAATATATAATCTTAGAAAAAAATTACAATTTAAATTATTTTGAAAATGGTGAGATTTTTATAGACATAGAGAAAAAGAAAAAGAAAGTGAAAAGTAGTGCATTGTTATTTTTTTTTTCTTATAATATAATTTCTATAACCATTGATGGAATGAAGAGGAATATAAGTAATTATATTCTAAAATAAAAGTATATAAAATTTTAAAAAATCATTAATTTACATGGTTTTAGAATTAATAAATTTACATAAATAGGATAATTTAGCACGAATTGCTTTCTTTTAACTTAGTAGGTAAGAGAAATTACTAGAGAAAAAAAAAAAAAATTGGACCAGAAATTATCTAATAACTATTAAAATAAAAAATTGAGTGCAATGAAAAAGTTGATTTACAAAACTTCACAAAGCTTTCACTGTTTACAGGCTATTATGGGTTTGTTAGAGACCACTCTGGTTTCTTGATTGGGCACTCCAATTTCTCTTATATCGGGGGAAAAAACAAACAGAAATGAAAATGGCAGAAAATAATAACGTGATGGTGCACAGAGCGCACCTGGGCGCAAGTTAGCAAAAGAATAGTTGGTAGGAAAAGTTAAGAAAGTTTGGTACGACGTATGTGTGTGAATAATAATTAGGGTGGGGAAGATATAAGTTTTGTAGGAATTTTAAAAAATTTAAACTTAAATTTAAATTTAAATAATAATAAAAAATGTATGGGCTAGGGTAAGAGATATTGTTATTGTGTGGATGAGATGTATGCAAGTTCATGTGGGTTAGGTGGTGGTGGTGGTGGTGGTGGATTATATGTGAATGTGATTGATCACAAAGTCTCTACACACTGCATCAGTCAACTTGTGTGTCTTTTTCACTAGACTTGACATTCTCTAATTTTCCTTAAAAAATAAAAGAAATAATTACATAATAATGAAATGGACCGTATCCTATCTTCTCTTCTCTTCTCTTCTTCTAAATTAGCATTAATCCCCCTACCTGCCCAACATCTCCTAACATTATCATATGCATCCCATTGCACACACACATGCATGCATTATTCAATTTTTATTTTATTATTATAGTTTGATATTTTCTTTGTTTATAATAAGATTATTTTTGTTTACTTTAATTAATTTGTCTATTCTTTAAAGATAAAAAATAAATAAATTAGGTTCATTCAATGTTTTTCCCCTTTTTAATTTTCTTTCAATTGCAATTTCTCCAATACCAAAAACAATTTCAAGTGGATGCTCATCACTATTTTAAAGTTGAGGAAATATATGTCAATTTGGAGTTAGACAAGTCATGTCACGTGCTTGGAAATTATTGCCAGAGGGGGGTCAAAAAACTATGTTTTTTTTTTTTCTTTCCTTATAATTTTGTGAATTTGAGTGTGCATCAAGAAAGTCTTATACTCTATATCATATGTAAATAAGACGTGATTTGATTGGTCGTTTGATTTATATGAGGATATAGAGGTTTCAAGTACGAATCCTCTATATCACAAGAATTTTTATCGATTTGGTAAGTATAAGAGAGGACTAATATATTGTGTACAGGCCGCAGTGTTAATTCAGTCCATTAAACCTCCTAATCAATAAAAAAAAAAAAAAAAAAAAAAAAAAAACAAAAAAAAGTAGAAGAAGAAGAGTCCTACAATGGAAAAAAAAAAAAAAAAAAAAAAGTAGAAGAAGAAGAGTCTTACAATGGAAAAGATAAAAGAAGGGAGAACCCATCAATCAATTTAGGTTGGTCAAGTCTTCTCTAAACCTAGAAGAAGTTTCAATCTTCTACTATCCTACGATTAGTCAAGAAAACAAAATCAAGTAATTACTGAGTTAAACCAATCTTACTAAAGCTCTAATACTATAATAGTAGCCAATAAGAGTGGGAAAAGAATTGAAAAATCAAATCAAAATTGAATTTTGAAACTTTACAGAAAAATTGGTTGAATAAATTGATCTTTAGTTCAATATTTTATATTTACAAGATTAATTAAAATACAAAAAATAAAAATAAAAAGTTGATATAATAAATATCTTGTAATAGAAACTTTAGTGATTGAACATTTATATTGATTATGACATAACAATATTAAAGAATTCCTACCCTCGCATACATACCCATTACCCTCCACCATTAATTTAAGAAGAAAATAATTTAAAAAATGGTCCCTTTGGGTGGGAAATAGTCTATTTATGAATGATCTTTTTGAATCTATGAATTGATGCATATTAGAATCCTATTGGCTCATGCTGGTCTATAAGCAGACCTTAATAGAAATTTCATGTCCAAACACAGTAAAGCAATATAGACTTTGTGCTTTCGCTTCTCAAGTTGGGACAGAAACCCATATATACGGGAAAAGGATGTCATTTGGTAAATAATGTTGCTTTGGACTTTTTGGACTCCTTAGTAACTTACGGCGTATATTCTAACGTCTCCATTTACTTAAAAGACTTTATGGTTGCTTGGTAGATTTTTAATGTAGAAGAATGAAAACTTATCACCTGCTCATCCAGAGTTTGTCTTTGACATTTGAACTATCGAAGCAAATATACACAAGTTACGTTTTTCAATGATTGGATTGGACATAATATACTAGTCGTGTCATTGACTCTAGCTATACTTTAATTGTGTATTATTGAATATTTAGAAGAAAGTAATTTCCAATGGCAAGGACAGGAGTTGTGGGAAATTCAAGCTTGTCTCAGGCAAATTCTAAAGCAGAAAAGTACCAAATTCATAGTTTCCACTCTAATGACACAACTAGTAAACCTTGTTGAATTTGCCTTTGAAAATTTGAAGGACATGTTTTTTAACAGTGTTATATGTATCACTTCCATGGCGGAAACTGGATATCGAAGTCAAATACAGGGTAAAAGAGCCTCTAATGATGACTGAGGTTTGATTTACAATCGGAAATCAAATATTATGGAACTATCGGATTTTTAAACTAGAATCAAGGTTCAACCCTTGGTTAGAACTGAAGGTTTGACTCCAATTCCGAGAAAACAAAAAGAGGAAGATTAGTCCTAAAAACTAGTTGGAATCAAAATGACTGAAACATGGTTAAGGGTGTGCGTTGATCAATTCAATCTAAATTTTATGAAAACCAGAACAGAAATTCTTTGGAAATAAAATCGAACTGAAACCAAATTAGAGAATTACCAAACTATTTTTATTTCATGCGGTGCATATTCTTAGGGTTACAGGTCTAAAAAGACGGTTTCAGAGAAGCTCTCTCTCTCTCTCTCTCTCTCTCTCTCTCTCTCTCTCTTTCATGCGGTGCAATATTCTAGGGTTACAGGTCTAAAGACGGTTTATCAGAGAAAGCTCTCTCTCTCTCTCTTCTCTCTCTCTCTCCTCTCTCTCTCTCATATATATATATAATATATATCATAAATAATATATATAATACGAACCGAAAATATAAAGTAACCAAAACAAACCGAAGCTCCAAATTGAAAAATCAGTTCTTTGAAAACAGCAATTTTCTTCCAGCGTTGGAAAATTTATCCTGATACAAATCAACATACCCACCATGTTTTTCTTTTCAATGTGGCATTAGGTAATTCTCTAATAACACTGATATATATATATATAATAACGAACCGAAAATATAAATCACCAAACCAAACCGAGCCTCCAAATTGAAATCAGTTGAACAGAATTTTTCCGCGTTGAAATTTATCCTGATACCAACAACATACCCCACCCATGTTTTCTTTTCATGTGCATTAGGTATTCTCTATACACTGACAAGAAATCTCACCGCTCATATTTCCATACACAAAAAGCATCAAATGAAGTCCACAATCCAACTTTCTCACCTAATAAATTTAGTAGAAACCTAGTTTCAGAAGAAATGTAAAAAATTTCCAAATAGAATATGCCTAGAATCCAATACCTCCATGTTTTAATAATCAACCTAATCTTCAACTTTCAGACTCGTGATAGTAGAGGAACCTTCTATAGGTAAGATGAACCTTCAGTGTTCCTTTGCCTGTGAGTTCTGAAGTTGGTAACTGTCATAAACAGAAATCAAGAATTATCCACTAAAGAAAAGTTGCAAATTAACCGACCATTTCCGTAAGGCAAACACCAATATTAGGGAGGAACGCAAAACAGGGTGGAGTCCTCAAATGAGATGTTGCTTTAGCAAAGAAATTAATATCAAACATAACAAAGTGATGCAGTATAGAGAAACTAATCACTCAGTACAAGATAATAGATGGAAACTACAATAAATCTAGGTTTCCTTTGGAGGAGCCTTCTTTGCTGCCTCTGCTGCTGCTTTCTCTGCTTCAATCTCAGCGACAATAGCATCAATTTCTGCTTCTTCAAGCTGCCGCAGGCCGTGCTCTTTTGTCATCACGGCAATTTCTATGTTCTTTCCTCCACTCTCAACAACCTTATAGTAAACAAACCAAAATCATAAGATGATGTAGCTAGAAAAATGCAGACAATTTTTTTTTTTTTTTTTTTACTCTGGCAATTTTCTTGCAATTATAGACAAGCTTAAAATTGCAAAACTTTTGCATAGTACACACATGACACAACTGGTAGATGGATTCTCATACATGCTCAGTAAGCACAACATCACAAGAACTAAAGCACTATTATGGTAACCGAACTTGTTTAACATAGAAAAGCACATATGCACATAAATCATTCCTATATAGTTCATGAATCTTAACAATTACAAGGGCAAAACGATGCATCAAAGAAGTTAGAACAACTATCCTCATAGTTAAAGAGTCAATAAAACAATGCACATAATAAAGCTTCAATGTGCTCAACAAACTTGTTTATTCAAATGCAGAAAAAGCATAAATGCACATAGAATATTCACACATGGGTCATCAACTGAACCATCATTTAATTCATTTATCCTATGTTTGGAAAGGATGAAAATGGAGGGACAGAAAGCAAATGGGAAAATATTGTCATTTTTCTTGATAGGAAGAGAGGGGAAAGGGGAAAGTGGAAATAGTGGAGGAAATTACTTCATTGCTCACTGAGCTTTACCACCCCAGTGACATGTAAAAGAGCTGATAATAAATAAAATCACCTCATGTTAAACTACCATTTCAAAAGGGGTACATGTTGTGGTTTGAATTAAATAAAAAATTATTATTATTGGTTTCTTTCTCACTTTCTCTGCCCACCCAAACAAAAAAAGACAATCTCGGACATTAGATTCTCCCACCATTTCTTTTCACCTCTTGCTTCTTTGCCAAACAAAAATTTCCCATCAGTCAAAGTTAAATCCCTACCGACCAGACTTCCAGAGATACTACTAGTCTTTAACTGCTAGAATGCATTTTTAAAAATATCCAAACAGATTCTATTCCAATCAGTGATGGATGAGCCAAACATACTTGTCAGCAGTTCAAAAAGGAAACACAGCATGGGTTTTATCCATCAATGAACTAAAAGCTACCAAACTCTTTTAGAATATTTTCTCCTCCTCCCTTCTCTTTTTACTCCTCCCCCCAGCCAAAAAAGAAAAGGAAGTTTTCCCTTTCCATCCTTCATTTCAGGCAATGTCATCCCGTGGGAATGATAAATATGCTCAACTAAACTAGCTCAAATCCGTTGATTGGAAAACACAAGAAACCTCCCCAGTTGTGCGTTGAATTTAGGTTAATTGCATTGCCAGTGCGGTCTGTTGCAATTTCAGCAAGCAAATAAGTACTTTGACTTAGAAGACCTGGACTAAGGTTTGTCTAGAAAATGAGCTCTGCTACATAATAAGAGAATGATAAAACTCAATCCAAATGGGAAAATTATACTCCCTCCGTCCCAAAATGTTTGTCCATGTTTCTATTTCTGGATGTCTCAAAATGTTTGTCCACTTGACTTAAGAGATATTTACTTTTCCTTTATACCCCTCATTATAAATGGTTTTAAGTTCTAGGAATAACCCTTTTTTTTTTTTTTTAAAGAGGACAATTTTGGAAAAATATGGATATTCTGTATGATGTGACACTATAATTAATGTGTTTCTTAAACTTTGTGCAAAAGCCAACAGGATAAATATTTTGAGCGGAGGGAGTATATTCATATGGTTCATCTTAGCCACAGATCAAGTAATTAATGAGAGGCAGCAAAATTTTGTTAGTCATGGAAATGATACATATACTGAACTAAAGTATCTTGAATTCATGGAGAATAAATAGACCTTCCAATTATTTGACATAAAACAATGTTCCAATATATCCTAGTATAGATTAGAGTAATTAGATATTGATTACCATTTGTCTCTGTCACTTTAAATATTAGCACTTAGCCAAAGAAGGTTGACATCAGAAAACCTGGTTTGTAGCTTGAGTACTGCCACACAGATAATATTTTATGCTACAGTAGCTCTATTCTTAAAAAGTTCGTCCAATCTGTTTGTTTGTTTCTTCTTTTTTTTAAACCATAATTCATTTTAGCCAAAGGTTCCCAACAACCTGGCAATGGCAATACACCAGCTGCTTGAAGTTCCACAAGTACATTACTGCCTCAGGAGATCACAGAAGTTCAACAAACGTACACTAGTTTACAGAGAGCAAGTAGACAAAAGATAATGGGATGTTCAACATCCCAATCTTAGATGATCTAAAGTAACAGGGCACACATGGCTAAATATGCTGCACTGGCACATGCTTATATTAGTTTATATAGAATAAAAAAGCATAAGTTTGTTTTTTTAAAAACAAAAAATTTGGTTTGGTAAGCTGTCAAGGCACCAGGAACCCACCTTAATGAATCAGACCCATTAAGTGATTGTATCAATGAAATTAAACAATATGATGATGAATGATATACATCAAATCAAAGATGAATATGCAGAGTATGCACAAAAAGAAAAAAAAAGCCTCTGCCTACCGAACCAACTGGACTGTAAGAAGGAGCCACATCAGGCAGGGAAGGGGAGAAGAAAGAGATGAAGTAAGGACTGAATCATCACAAACAGATGGCAAGCGCATAGGAACACTCGGCAAAGATATCAAAATTTGAACACGTAGGAGAGTAGTAAAAAGCCAGTGTTGTGATATCTAAATGCTACTCCTTACCCAAAAGGGGAGCTAGTGCCATGAACTAAAACTAATAAACAACATTCCACCTTTTTTTTTTTCAATCTTTCTTTAGAAATAGAAGTATGTCCATAGAAATGAACTAACGCGGATAAATCAAAAGATGAGATATAAAAGACAAACAACTGTAGCTACCATATAAGTAAATGAGGTAGTAAAGCCATGGCTAAACCAGTATGACAGTGTCGTTCATAGTGAACTAAGTCAGTGATCAACAAAGGCAAGGAGAAAAGGATCAAAGAAAAAAAAAATACAGACAGAGCACCATATCTTATATAACTTTTCGAAATGTTAGTTACACCTCCATTCATATTTCTGTCCAAGTCAGACCCATTAAGTGATTGTATCAATGAAATTAAACAATATGATGATGAATGATATACATCAAATCAAAGATGAATATGCAGAGTATGCACAAAAAGAAAAAAAAAAAAGCCTCTGCCTACCGAACCAACTGGACTGTAAGAAGGAGCCACATCAGGCAGGGAAGGGAGAAGAAAGAGATGAAGTAAGGACTGAATCATCACAAACAGATGGCAAGCGCATAGGAACACTCGGCAAAGATATCAAAATTTGAACAGAAGCCAACATCAGGCAGGGAAAAAAAAAAAGCCTCTGCCTACCGAACCAACTGGACTGTAAGAAGGAGCCACATCAGGCAGGGAAGGGAGAAGAAAGAGATGAAGTAAGGACTGAATCATCACAAACAGATGGCAAGCGCATAGGAACACTCGGCAAAGATATCAAAATTTGAACATGTAGGAGAGTAGTAAAAAGCCAGTGTTGTGATATATAAATGCTACTCCTTACCCACAAGGGGAGCTAGTGCCATGAACTAAAACTAATAAACACCATTCCACCTTTTTTTTTTTTTTCCAATCTTTCTTTAGAAATAGAAGTATGTCCATAGAAATGAACTAACGTGGATAAATCAAAAGATGAGATATAAATGATAAACAACTGTAGCTACCATATAAGTAAATGAGGTAGTAAAGCCATGGCTAAACCAGTATGACAGTGTCGTTCATAGTGAACTAAGTCAGTGATCAACAAAGGCAAGGAGAAAAGGATCAAAGAAAAAAAAAAAAAAAACACAAAGAGCACCATAATTTATATAACTTTTGGAAATGTTAGTTACACCTCCATTCATATTTCTGTCCAAGTTGAACACCAGTTTGGAAAGTGTATATGATAGCACCAAGAAACAATTCTTTTAGTCATGAACAATCAAATCAAATATGATTGATTTCATAGATCAACTAAGTATGATCTAAGAATTTTATTAGGCATTATATCATATCTGTTAACAACAGGTGCAGCACACAGAATGCAGCTTCAGTGCAAAGAGGTGCAATTTTAATCAACATATGACAGATCAAGCAATTCGTCATGTACACATTCAGCACAAGTAGATGGTCAAAAGGAGCAACTTACTTCAAGCAAAGCACGAATTGCTAACTTCACAGTTTCTTGCCCAGCAGTTTCTTTATAGTTCTTCTCCAGAAACTCTCGCATTGAATTTGAGTTTCTCCCAGTAGCATTGGCTTTCCATGCTGAAAATGCTCCTGATGGATCTGTCTGATAAAGAGATGGAACACCTGTATAGGGATCAAAACCAACAATCAAGGTTGAAAGACCAAATGGTCTCACACCACCGCTTTGTGTGTACTTCTGTTGCAGACCAGCAATGTAACGTGTTATATATTCAACAGTTACAGGATCCTCAACAGTCAGTCTATGGCTCTGACATTCAATGCGAGCCCTATTCACCAAAACACGTGCATCTGCTTTTAATCCGGCACATACTAGTGCTACGTGATCATCCAAGGAAACAATCTTCCTCACCGTTCTGCAAACAAAAAAGGCCAACAAGATGGTGAACTGAATTGATAAGGATACATATCAAATACACATGGGTTTCCCAAAGTGATCTAAATTTTAACATAGATATCATCATATAAGAAATCGTAAGCCACCTCAAGCAAGATGGAGTCTGCCTAACAAACAATAGCAACAACAATGACAATGGCACATGGTTTAGAATACAAAAATGCAAAAGGATATAACACGACATGAACAAAAGGGCCAAAAATTTGAGAATGTTACCTTAAAAAGAGAAACATGTAAAGGACAAAAAAGCAACTATAATTCAAGGAAGCAGGAAAGGACTTATTCCTGATCTTGTTTCAAACAAATTGCAATAAGGTCACGTTCAACCCTCTCTCTCTCTCTTAAAAATTGGGAATGGAAAGCAATGCTTTGAATAAAATTTCATATTCTTGTTTGATTCATAAGGAATTCAGATTTTTAATGATATGTTTATATTTGATATCTCGACTTTGTCCTCAAATTATCAATTTTTAAGTATAGTCCCTAACATAACCATTAAATTCTACTTGGGTATTTACATAATAAATTTGGAATAGGAATATTTATAATTACAAATCTATTACCTAGACAAACCAAAGATGCTCTTCCGCGAATGGGCATACTTTGAAAATTTGCAACCAATTCAATCTCTTTTTCCATGCAAGAAAATGACTGCAAAACAATAATAGATGCACAATGCACCTAAAATCCTTTCGCTCTCTATCAATTATCAAAATTTTTACATCTTTATCAGATAGTTTACTCATCCAAAATAACAAATAATAATGAAAAAAGAACCATCAATTCAACATTCAATCTAAAAAACCTCAAACTCGCAAGTACCCTAAATATAAAATTATCTTAAACTTGCATGTCTATGTAAAATATTACCTAGCATCTTGAAGTTTGGCGGTCGATTTCTTCTCGACACCGAGAACGACGACGTCAGTACCGCGAACACCAACGGCAGCGTTTCCTTTGCGAACGGCTTCGAGAGCGTACTCCACTTGGAACAAATGTCCATCCGGAGAAAACACTGTTATTGCACGATCATATCGAGCCATATCTGCTTGGGTCTATCTTTTACTGCGTATTTGCTTTGCTGATAGTATTTGTGTGCGATCTGAGTCTTTGTTTTGCTTTTTGATTCTGAGAAATATAGAGGAGAAAGAAACTAGTCGACTTAGGGGACAAGCCACTGGTACTGATGCGAGGAGATTCTTTGCCCCAGGAAAACTACGTCGTTTTATAGAATCATCAAAATTACTATCTTAGGCCTTGTCTATTTTGAATATTTGCTACCACCATCCAATATGTTAAATACCTATGCTATATATAAACTTAGAAATAAAAGAGAATAATGAGATTTTTAATATCAATCTTAATGAAATTTGAAATGCTCTAAAACACATTTTATAATAAATTAAAAAATTATAATTTATTAGTTGATTGGATATAATTTATGAAAAATATTTTTTAAATAAATACATATAAAATTTATTAGTTGATTGGATATAATTTATGAAAATATTTTTAATAAATACATATAAATAATTAAACTTTTTTAAATATTTTATCTTTTAAAATTATTTTTTAGATAATAAATGTTGATAATAGACATTTTAAATTTTTATATTATTATTTTTAAAATATTAATTCCTATTTGATTATAATTTAAAATATTTATTTAAGAGAGCTAAAGAAAGAGTACATTCTTTTTTATTAATATTGTTTTTTTTTAATATTCTGTTGACTCTGATTGGATATATTTTTTAAAAAATAAATTCTCAAAATTAGAAATATAGGAGAGAGATAAAAAGAAAAAAAATATATTATTTAGGAGAGAGATAAAAAAGAAAAAAAATATATTATTTTTTTTAATATTTTTTTCTTTATGTTTGTATGGTATGATTTGATTGATATTTTCTTTTTAAAATTAATTTTCAAACAGATGATGAACATATTTGTGTATCGGCTAATGAACAGTTGAAAATTAAATTTTAAAAATATATAATAATTATTATATATATGTATATATTCTTTTTTTGTTAGGTGATATTATAGAATTGTGTATATATAGCTATAATGAATTTTAAATAAATGATGATAAAAATTAAACTGAAGTGTTTGTATATACTAACCATGAATTTTGAATACATATTTGTGTATCGGCTAATGAACAGTTGAAAATTAAATTTTAAAAATATATATAATAATTATTATATATATATTCCTTTTTTGTTAGGTGATATTATAGAATTGTGCATATATAGCTATAATGAATTTTAAATAAACGATGATAAAAATTAAACTGAAGTATATGTGTATACTAACTATTATATTCATATTAATCTCATGTGAAATGTTATTTTATCATTATAAAATCTAAATAATATAAGACAAGAATTGTAATCAATATTTAATAAAAAAAATAAAAACGAGTACAAAGAACAAGTAAAAAAAACTAGCGAATGATTGTAGAAATATTTTTTCTATATTGTTGTAGAGAAAATTGAGGGTGTATTTGAAGAGGATGTAACGTTTTCTTATATAATCTTTTTATTATTAATTAATTAATTTGTTTATTTATTGTAATTTGCAGCTTAGAACAATAGAGAAACACACTACTTGAATAAACTCATTAACTCACTAATATTAGATCCTAGCATGATTTTGTTTGTAATTTTCTTTTATTGATTCCAACATCAAATTTCATTAAATTATGACTTTTCGAGTTGAAGAAAGGTTGATTTTTGAAATTCAAATTAGTAATTATTTTAATATAATTACTGTCTTATTATATGTTGAGTTATGCAAAGAGTTTCATTCTTAATAATATATATATATATATATATTTTGTTATTGAATTAATTTATAACTATTTCCACTTTAATTTATTGATATATCTCCCTTGCAATAAATAGATGGTCTCTTGATGATTAAAAATTTTAAATTTTCTTAATATTTTTTTTCTTATATTCTAAATTTGTTTAACTTGAAAGAAAAATAGTAATTAGGAAATTAGAAAAATACTAGAATTATATATTTCTGTTTTGGGTCACTTTTTTTGTTTCAATAATTTGTATGTATATGAATACATTCCCTTCTTTAATGCACTAAGTAAGTAACACTGTTATTATAGTCAAAGTGATTATTATTATTAATTCAGTCAGATCATCTTCTCATTTTTTTTCTTTTACCAAGTAGTAAAAAATAATGTATTATTATTTTTCATTATAGTTGTATATATATATTGATTTTAGGATTAAGGTCAAAGGTTGGGTATTGAGTGAGGGCTTAATTTTCATTTTTGGCATCTATTAGAGTGTAACATCCCTTTCCGGTCCACCCGTTAACCCGAATGAACCGAGCCGAGACGCTACAATCTGGTTGAACTTATATCCTGTCATGCTGATATCACCCTATCCTGTCATGCTGATATCACCCTGTATGCGAGATATGAATATAAAACACTCCCAATTAAAATATCAGACTTCCAATATCTCCAACTAATCATCATCAACTAATCATCAGAGCACAATAACACTTTATACATCTTTTTATAATTGTATAAATCCTCAATAGCATTTAATATCCAGCAATTAATGGCATTCATTATATATATCAAGTCTTCATGACCTAATCATATCAACTATGTTAAAATATTTCATATTCAATCATTTCTCATTTCCTCCAAATACTTACACGGAGACAAAATAATTTACATGCTTCAATTTATATGTTCCAATTACAGGAAGCTCTAACCAAATGGAAAACAATTATACATCATAAAATCTTAATAACATGCCATAAATTCTTAATATTACAACTCTGCAATCTAGCTATGACCCAAGGTTAGTCATTTGCTTTGAACGTAACTTCCTCAGTCTCAAGTACCAACGCACCGATCTTTAACTAACGCGTGATAAAAATCGACCGCGCTGAGTTAATAAAACTCAGTGTTTCTCATATTCACATAACTAAACAAAGTGGCGGATGGCAACTAACTTTAAAATACAAGTATACATAAAGCATTGAATAACTCCTAGAATCCAGTAATTTTCACATGAAATGTCTCCTTTAATTAGTCAAACAGAATAAACTTCTAAATTCATAATAAACATCAATAATTGAAGTATATCTAAATTTTCTCATAACTTCCTTTACATGAACCTAATCACACATTAATGATTCACTATCATAAGATCTTATCCTACTGTTCATATGTGTTGTATGAATGAAAGCATAAACATGTAAGAATAGCTAACAGTAATATGTTCATTGTCTTAACTATGCTATTCCATTATGCTGTATGAACTTATGCACTTTTATCACATCAATATAAGTTATGATTATAACATCTCATGACTGTATGGGCTCCTTAAAGATTCAAATAATAAACTTGAATAGCATATATAGCAATTATACTTTAACCGCACAATATTATTTTTTAGAGTTTTTAAATTGAAGAAGTGGAGTGTAGAAGTGAAGAAGTGTAGAGTGTGTAGAAGTGTAGAGTGTAGAGTTTAGAGTATAGAGTGTGTAGTAGTAAAATTGAGAGAGAGAGAGGGGTATTTATAGAGGTTTGGGGGTACTGCAGCAGTGTAGTACAGTACTGTAGCAATGTAGTACAGATTACTGTAGCACGTATACTGTATGCTTCATGCAATGTTATGTCAAGATATCTGTATGGCTCCATAAGGTTATAGTGAAACCGAAGTGATAAGAAAAACTGTATGAAACTGAAACTGGATAAAGGACTGTAATGGCTTTGGCCTGCTTTATGGCGCCTGTAAATCAATCCACTAAACGGGCCTGTCACGCCGAGTAACCAAACTGTATGTCGGAGCGCAGTATAGCTGCTATTCTACCTCTTGTCGGCGACAATAGGGCCTCATCTACATCGGTTTCGTTTCTACCTAACCTCAATGGAGCATATTAATGGAATGTCAATAGATAAGCAAAAGCAAAATAACTGTGTCATAATTTGCATGCTTGTGTCATGTCATTTTCACATATTTGTGTCATAACAATTAACTGCTTCATCATTTCATTGCTTACCTGTATGCTGATAGCCTCGCCAAGTAGGCAACCTGTGTCATGTTAGTTTCACACCACTTGCATGTTTGCATTTTGTTTTTATACATGTGTTCATGATGTCTTTTTGCTTTAAAATGGTTGAAGACATACAAGTTGAGAAAAGGAATACAATTCATAACGCACTAGAATACAATTACAGTATGTGCTTAACCTATCATTTAACATCATTTTACATGCTTGCATGGTTGTTATTGATACAATGATTTAAATGGTTTGTATTTTTGGTTGGAAAAATGATTGGAGGCATACAAGTGAGCAAAGGAAATCCAATTGGCATAGAAAAAGAAGTCAAAAGATGCATGAAACACAAGTCGCGAGCGCGCAAGGTCGCGAGCGCGTAATGCACATCTGAAAGTCAGTGAGTTTCCAGGTGAAAGTCGCGAGCGCGTAAATGCAAGTCGCGAGCGCGTATGTGTGATCGGCACAAGTCGTGAGCGCGTAAATGCAAGTCGCGAGCGCGTAGAGTGCCAAAAGAGAGACAGTGAGTTATCAGGCCAACTACGCGAGCGCGCAGCGCAAGTCGCGAGCGCTTCCAGGCCAAGGGCCAAGTCGCGAGCGCTTCTTGCAAAGTCGCGAGCGCGAGAAGGGCAAAATGAGAGGCAGAGAGTTTCAAGCACAAGTCGCGAGCGCGCAGTGCAAAGTCGCGAGCGCGCGACGCAAGTCCGCGAGTTGCGTACAGTACAAATGAGAGTCCAGTCGGCGAGCTCTTCAAATGCAAATTCGCGCGCAGGCGTCGCGTTATTCTCAGCCTTGCACGTCTGTTACTCTTTTGGTCAATCTCCTCAATATACAACTCCGATTTGAATGATTCCAAAAACAGCATCATTCAACAATAATCAACACATGATCTCATGAACAACACTCCATACAATTTTTCATGCAAAGAACATGGGAAAATAACAAGAGATATCAAACCTTGTTTTCAAAAGCTGGGACTCTGTTTCAACATAAACTCAATATTTACTTCATTTATTCACTTCCTCCCCTGTTTTCTCACCATTACCAGTCCTCCCACTCAACACGAAGCAATATTATCTCATTAACAACACACCACACAATTTCTCATGCAAAGATATTGATTAAACTAAAAGAGATAACACACCTTTACGCCAATAAGCTTAAGCTCTTCTTTTAGCTTCCTTCTACC